AGTCTTTCTCATATATATATATATATATATATATATATATATATATATTATCATACACATTTTATAGAGACATAGTACTTGTCATTAAAAATTATTTTAACAGATATTATATATATATATTAATATATTGTTAGAATGTGTAAATATAGACTACAATGACATTTTTTATATTACACTATATGTAATCTTTTTTGTAATATTGTTTTTTTATATCTAATATGTTAAAATATAGGTTAAAAACCTATTTTGGTCCTTTATAATAATTGTTTGTTTCAATTTAGTCCCACTTTTATTTTTTGTCTCAATTTGGTCCTTAATAAATTAATTAGTCTCAATTTGGTCCCTAATAAATTAATTGGTTTCAATTTGGGACTTTCGTCTAAATTATTTAAACGAAGTTAACTGTGTGGCCACGTGGATGCCACATAGATGCATAGGTGGATGTCACGTGAATGTCAATTTTTTTGAAAACACCTGGAACCAGAACGGGCTGTTCTGGTTACATTTTTTGTGTGTTAATTTTGCATCCGGAACGGCCCGTTCTAGGTGCAAAATTTATACACTAAAAGTGCAACCAGAACGGGCCGTTCTGGTTCCAGATTGCTAAGCATAAACGATCGATGATTATAGTTCACGGTTGTGAATCATGAAAGGAAAAAGACCCAAGGTACAAAACATTTCAAACACTGAATTTGGTAATATTGTCAATGAAAATTGATAACTTAAATTGCTAAACAGTTAGGCTATACAGTGTATTATTAAGGACAATGCAATGTATCACTAAAGACAATGATAGCAGATTTTATTTCATTTCAAACTAGAGTGAACCATTTACTACCAAATTGACACTATACAATAAAGGATGAAATGACATAGTATTTTTTCTTGAAGTCATTAACAATATACCCCAACAACAACATGTTCTTGAAGAGGTAGAACCTGAAGTAAAGGAAGAGGATACACAGGACTAACATTTCACCACAACCATATGTAGGGACAGATCTAAGTTAATCATAGTGGGGGCACTTGCCCCCACTAAATTTTTTTTCATTTTTTTATATATAAAATATTAATAATTTTATAAAATATATATTATTAATTATATTTTAATTATGTTGTTATATCTAATATAATAAATATATTAATATTTT